AAACCTACATTGGGCCGTAAAGTCTGTAAATAGCTGCTGCATCGGGCTACTTGGATCTCTAGGGAAGCCTGAGTGGCTGGTACCACGATCTGTGCATGTTGTAGTCTCCAGAGTATTCTTGTACTGTCATGCCTTATCCAAGCTCTTTAAGAGTAGGGACGGCCCGCCCCCTTTGAATTATAAATTATAAGCCGTAAAGTGGATCCAGTTCTGCAGACTAAGAACTAATGATTTTGTTGATGGGAAAGCTCAGACTCTTCGGATTTAAGACTAGACCTTTAAATCTTGCCATTTTAGGGTTTGGCAAGCATGTTTTTCACCTCTAGTGGCTTTTAGACCCAAAATGCCTCTGCCACAAAGTGCCCCCCCCAAAAACCTTCAAGCCTAGGGGATCTTACTGGTGAGCTGGAATTGTCGCTCCCAGATTGTTTGTGCCTAAAACTCAGTGGTTTTCCTTCTGGAATGTAGGAAGCGCCGTTTTCAAATATGATGCTTCATACCAGGTTCAATGGATGTCGTGCAGACTTCACTAGTATGTCTAGAGGGCTACGGGATTTCTTGTATGGGTGTCGTGCTCCGGGGGAGAGTAAGATCTACGGTTCAAGGCTTGAAGCTATTCGCGCCGATATCATCGAAAGCACATTCTTTTCTTTGATTCTGTGGGCGCTAAGCCCTACCTCGCGTGCACATGCAGCAAGTCTATCTTGAGGCTCGATCCTTGCGCGTTGGGTCAGGGTGTGGTGTGTAGCATGTGTTCCGTCTAGTAGACATCGAAGTCATGATCTTCATGATCACTTGAGTACGTTTGACTAGAAAACTCTCCCAGGAAGATCACGTCTAAACAGCGTCGCCGTACATCCCATACCTCCAAAGCCGTCGCGAGCCCACCAGCACACAAGAGTCCCGCATTCCCAGCCCTCTAAACGTCAACCCTAAATCTTAAGTCTAGAATCCAGAACTTGAAAGCCTTAACACTGAGGTATCTTGGGCGGCGAGTCCAAGGCCAAGGCCCTCGGTGCGGTGTCTCCGGCATGTTGTCATGGCATTTACATGATGGGCCTCGTTGTTCCGGCCTCCATATAAAGTACCTGACATGCAAGTATGAGGGCACCGTACCTTATGCCCATGAGACTCAGCCGTACTTTGTCTTTGCCAGCCTAAATTTTCAGATCCCCACTAGCTAAAAGGAGTCTGATAAGGTCGCATTGGCTCGTTGACAAAGCTGTGGAAGTCCGAGGGCTGAGTTGTCAAAGGCCTGTGAACCCGCAGTTGGGGTAAAAGAGGTACCGATGAAGAGCAACCGGCACCACATCATGGTTCAGCGTGTGAATCCACTAGGGCAAGCGCTTCTCAACACAGACCTTGAGAATTCAACTCAGCTTTTTCCGCAAGCCGTAAATAAACCCTGAACCCTATGAAAATCCAAGACTGGATGCTGAATCCTGGGGATGTCTGGAAATTGCTTTTACCTTTCACTTTTGGTTTATCTCCCAAATGGAGAGCCAAAACTTACTTTGGGAAGAATCCCAACTCAATGAGCTTGCTGCCAGGAGTGGGACATTCGCTCTCCCGAAGAGATGCTGCGTGCTGGCCTTGAAGGCATCTCTCAAAGCTGCTTCTGGCTTTTCGAGATTTGTTCTCATGCGGGAGCTTAAATGGTCAGGCATGCTGCTCCCGCGCCATTCTCGTAACGTGCACCCTCCAAGCCCTCTATTTTAACCCCAGCATACTTACGCAGGTTAGCAGTTGCATTTGAATGAGAAGCAAAGCCAGCAAAACCAGGCGAAGTGGCAACGTGGGAAAGCGACTGATGATCACAATACGTTGCAATCAGGACGAAGTAGGAGCATGCATTATGCGCATTGCCCGACGTTCGTGATAACTATCCTCTCATGGTGTCCCAGGCATTGTTCGAAAGACATCAATAAGTGGGACAGTAGCAATCAAACTGCTAGACTTGTGCGACTCTCAAGACAAAATGCGCGTGCCATGACACTGTGAAGTATGCTCTGCATGTATATATAACTAGAGCGGGTCCATATTCGTCAATGTAGGTGCACGGCAGTATGATAGTTTAGCAACCGGGACAGCCACAATTGGGGATCATAGCGGCACAAAGATGAACATCTGCTCAGAAAAGTCACAGGATAAAGCGGGCCTAGTTCAAGCAGCAGATGTAGCTACAGCTACAGTTGTGATTCAATCAAGCTGTATTATATAGAATCAGGCTGACAGTTTGCACTATTCCTCGCAGACGTGCAGGTGTTTCAGCTACACACCGCCGGCGCTCGCTGTGGGTGCTGAAAAACGCAGTGCAGGCAAGTTGGCCGTTTAAACTTCAAGCTGGTCGAGCCGGTACTTGCAGTTAAGCCGTGCGGTTCTGAATACGTACAGCACTACTACAATGTATACGTATCGGTTATTACTGGGATAGTGGAAAACAATATGGAAACTACTAAGGGGTCATATTGGATTGCAGTTGCAAAGACCATCTGCTACCTGTTATTGTAGAGGCACCTGCTAATGACGTTACGTGAGGTGCAGGTGGCAAAGCGCACTTTTTTTGTCTGCAGAAGTTGTTGGTTCCCTTCTGCACTGCAGGTTGGCAAGCAGACCCTTTCTGAAAAAAACTTTGCCAACAGGACCCTCCAAAAGGGCGATAGTTATGAGGAAAATAAGATGTGACATACTAATGTAGTTATGCGGACATGCATGACATGCAAGATCACAGCAGGGTGCCCTCGACAACTTCGAAACCAATGCCTCCGACGATGAGGACCGCTTGCGCAGAAGTGGAAGCCACATAAGAAGCAGACAAAGGCTTCTGCATGATCCGGAGTTCGCCCGTCCAGAGGTGAGCCTGTTACTCAAAGTCTACGGTCGAAAGAAACTTGTTCAACTAAGCCAAAGGAGGTCTATACCTCTGGTAATTGTGAGTTATATGTAGGGATCTCGGCAACTGCCCATTTCTTTTCATTTTCAACTTACACGCCATCCGCTATAACCATACATACATAATGTTTAGGGCAGGAGCATCTATAGATATTGTCAGAATTACGAAAAGTAGCACCTGTATCAGTCTTGAGCCATTGTCAAAACGATGCCTCCCCCCCAAAAAAACGAAATTACTCCATGCAAACGTGCTTTGCTCTCCCCATGGGTGCAAGTGCAAGCAAGAAATCGTGGAGCACCTTAGCCTTAGCCACACATTTCGCTTCATTTTTCAATGCAGAAACACTGCATACATCCTGAAGCCTGACCTGTGCACTTGAGACCTGGCGGGTGCAGCGAAGGACATCCTGCGCCTTGCAGACGACGAGCGTTTCCGCGTGGCAGCGGCGTATAGGCACTATTAAGGGAAGTATACCTGAGATGTGCAAAGCGGATTGCGCCAAAGATTCTTGTAGGCTTCAACATAGATGGCAAGGGGTGGGTGTCTTGCCAAGAACATCTTCTTCATGGCTTTTGCTTCCTAGAGCTGCAGGGCCTCACCTTTTGAGTTTCGGAGTTTACATAGCTTTTCGTTGGCATGCGGGAGTTTCTGCATATTTGCCCTGGAGGATACCCAAAGGAGAACGGCTGACCACCATGACATTCTTATAAAATAGAAACCTCTATTTCTCTACAGGGGTATGTGTGTCTCTCCGAACTATAAACTCTGACACATATCAATATTGTGGGTGCATTTAGCGGGGTCCGTTAGCTTCAGCTAATGAGGAGTTTCTATGAAGACCCTAGCTTGGTAAAAACCGCACACTGAAAGAAGACTTTGCCAAAAACAGATTTTGTTTGACAGACTTCTTATGCTTGCTTGAACCCCATGCCTTAGATCCATCATGGCTGCTTTCTGCTATTCGGCGGCTCGGGGCTTGCACCAAGTTTCTTCAGGCCATGCATGCCCGAAAGGTTTAGGTGGACCTGCAACAGAGCGTATGATAATCTTCTGTGCCCGCAAGTGGCCCATGCTCCCCTCGCATGAGGCCCGAAGCACCTTTTTGATACTGAGGTCCCAACGCATCTCGGTTCTGATGTTCGCGCAGTTCTTGAGGGAAGAGAACACTAAAGCAATTCTCAGCTTCCCTGATCGATTCCTTGTAAAGGTGGGGCTCCCTGAAAAACCCTGTTGCATGAACCCTAAACTCTAAGTCGAAGCAGGCTGGGCAAGAAGCGCATCTTGCAGAATGTCCTGACATCCTTGGAGCCTTGGCTGCTCAGTTCTTCAGGCTATTTACTGTAGTCCTTGCATAGGGTCGAGGCGAGCAAATCACATTTTGCACACCTGACAAACATAGTCCGCAAAGCTCACCAATCTGAATTTGCAGATGCCTGGAAGTCTATGCCCAGAAACCCCCTGGTGCCAAGGAAGAAGCTGACACAAAGATTGTCACAAGACGAGCGCGGGCCCAGAAGGAGTCGGATGGGCAAGTGACAGTGGGAAGTCTTGATGTCTGGTTCTCAAGCCATGTTTCTTTCCGTATCCTTGTTTTTCTGGGCGCAGGTTGGGAGCATGCACGGAGGCATGCCATGTTGCTCAAGGCGCACCACTTGGTAGCCAGAAACATGCAACGTTTACATCGTTGAATTCACAGAGTCAGCAATCCATAGAAGGTTATCTGGGGCAGGAAATGTGTTCGCTCGTCTTTCAAACTTCTGGTCATGCAGGAGAGAAGCCTGCCTGCAGCCGTCACCGGCACTCGCCCGTCCACCAAAGCCAAGGGGTTTGGCTGAGCAGGGCCTTGGAATAAGAGAGCCCATAAGTGCCAACGGTCAACGCCAATAGTGTTAGTTCCTGACGAGAAGTTGAGGGCTTTCATGTATGTGAAGGTTTGCCAGCGTCAGAAGAACAACATGCTCTAGCGCGGCGCAGTTTATCCCACATCAGCCCTGCAACCCGTATTCTACAAGCTGAACGAGGCTTTCCTGGTGGAGCAACATGCTCTGCTGTAGAAGTCCTCCTTCCGAAGTTTGGAGACTTACGGCCTGCTCGCTTGCAGCCTTACATGACAAACTGCGATGAAATGGCGCGCATGCTGCGCTCAGGGCTGAGGCGATTATGAGTTCAAGATCTTCCAAGAGTGGCCAGAAACTTTGGAGCGACCATGAACAGGATCAAGATGAAATGTGGATGACTAGATGATACTCGTTGTCAGGTCTGCCTGCAGTTGGCAACTAAATAGCCTTACGCACAACCCTAGACCCTAGATTCTCCTCCCTCGTCAAGATGTCCACAGGCTAGCAAGCCAAGAGGCGCTGTGCTCGTGGGCGTTGTATTGAAATAGGGTGACGCCCGCGTAGTAGGATTGCTCGTCCTAGGGGCCACAAAGCAAAGATGCTAAATGCGCTCAAGCCACTCAAAGGCCAGCGAAACCCTACAAGTTCTGAGGGAGGCAATTTCTTGCCAGCGGCCCTGCAGACTAAGTCAATGGTCATAAGCGTCATACGCCCACACCCCAGATCCTGCAAGTGTCAAACCTGAGGCGTTGGATTCATGCCCTGAAAGCCTGAAAACCGCAAATCGTGGGCGTTAACGGCAGCCCCTGCTGAATTCCGGGGTCAAAGTCTGAGCCGGTGGAGAAAGGCCTGGAAAGCCTACGTCCTGCACTCTTCCAAGTCTACGCGGCAATTCAAAAGCGGCTTTACAAAGTCCATTGTCCGCAAGAGGGTGGCCTAATCAATTATGTGGGCAGCCTGACCTAGCCTGCTTAAGTTAAGACTGATCTCTAGACCATAGAGACTCTTGAAACCAGGGGCGACAACAGAAACAGCTGAAACCCTTAGACCCAACACAAAACCCCTGAACCCTAAACCTTATGTAACCCCTATAGACCCTAAACCCTATATACTTATAACCCCTATACCCCTATATTATATTATAACCCCTATAGCCCAAACCTCAATCCATTTCTCCCTCAAAGTGGGAGGCCATGGTCCTTTTCGTCCTGAGCGATCCCCGGCTTCCATTTGGACAGCTGCGGATGCGTGCGCCAGGGAGGGTTTAGTTGGCTGTTGGGGTGCGCGAGTGGTGGGGGATATTCAGGGCTTATACAGGGATTCCCCGGGTGCATGCGCGTTTCTTCATTTACATCTCTTGTTTTTTTTCGCTCTCTCTCTCTCTCTCTCTCTCTTTCTCTCTCTCTCTCTATATATATATATAGAATGCATATATGCGCAGCCTAGGGGTTCCACGTACGTAAGTGTTTCTGGATTTTGCGGAGGTTCACAGGTTCACGGCTTTAGGCGTTTCGAATTTGAAGCCGGCAGGATTTGGGCGGAATTTGCAGCAGGGTTTGTACACAACGGTTCTCTCAGGAAGTTTCTTGGTGATCCTTGATGAGGCTCTGGGTTGATTGGGATGGTAGGACATTGATTGCCTGGCTTGCAGAATTTACTCTTGAAAAGTTCACCATGGAAGGGTGCACTGCCTCTTCCCAAAAACCCTGCCCAAATAAGGTTGAATCTACATGAACAGGCATCTAGAAAAGAGGCCGGGTTCAGGCACTTCCGCCGTTTGCAGCACTGCGAAATTCGTATGCTGGGACCATCACTATACCACTGCAACAGCAAACTCCCCAACATGGCGTGTTTGTGTGCAGGCAGTGCTTTCGACAGCTCAAACCCGTGGTTGAGATCTGCATATGCCGCTCTAGGCCAGCAGGGTCCCAAATCCCTGAGTCCCGAAGCGACAACAGGTCTGGGCCTGTGATTGCTAAAGTCGGTATGTTGAAGACTGGTCAGAAAGCATATCATTAAATACAATTTGAGTTGTAACACGCCGCATGGATCATCACAGCGTTTCATCATAGTACGTCTACGCGGTCTTGAAGTACGAATTTTCTGCCGCCTGCTTTGCCAATCACGTGCCTGCGAGCAACGGGCAGCAGACCTCAAGCAGGATTGCCAGAGTTTAGCACGGGCCCAGAGACCGTTTGTCAGCAAGCAATCCGGATATGACCTGCATGGCACGGGGAGCATGGTGCTCAAGAATGGGCACACGCATATGTCCTACGCCATGCAGAGGTGTTTGCACAGCGCGCTAGCACATTGACATGTAAATATGTTCTGCAATTCTCGGGCCTGCCTTTGTCGCTAGTAAGAGTGTCACACAGGGAGGGTTGTCGGCATGACTGAACCGTTTTGCAGCTACAAATGTCCTTGCAGGGGTGCTTCTCGGAACATTTGATCGCATTGATGGGTCCTAATAGGCCGGACTCACTGTAGCGTGCTGATGGAGACAAAGGGGTGCTCCCAAGTTGTTCAGGAAGTACCCGTCTCATGGAGAAACCTACATGAATCTTCACGAACCCTAGCTTAAAAACATCAGGCATACACTTCCTACCGAATTCCATTCTGCCGAACTCTTGAGCGCCCGAACCAGCTGGGTTGTACTCAGAATGAACTCAAGTCAGCACCAGCGCGACGTACACAACGCAATAAAACCCCTCAAAGCTGCAGGCTTATGCTGTACTGTGCTCTTCTTTTCAGAGCAAAGAGGAGCTAGGATGCTATGATGTAACCCCTGGAAAGCGCAAGGAAAAAGCCTCTGGGAAGGGAAGTACGTTGACTAATGCCTTGGACCTTACAAATCCTCAGCCCAGACAGCCTACGACTTTAAATCCAAAATCTCCAAACCCTAGCTCCTGGGTAGGGAAGCGGATCGGGCAGGCCAGGGCAACCGCGTCACTTGCCTTTACGTTGGCGCCGGGTCAAGTGCTCGCTCGGAGGCGCTTGCGGGTTTGAGTGTTTCGGTTCTGCAGGACCCTTTCTATGGTAGGCACTTGTGTGCCTACGCCACTTATGGTCATAGCTAGCTGGCCCACACTGTTTGTGAAGAAGAGGGCTAGGTGCTAGCTCCTTTTTCGAAGTAATCGGAAGGGGTCGTTCTTCCCTACAGAGGAATCTGAAAAGGAATAATGCAGTGAACCGGCTGTGTTTGAGATCCTCTTGGCAGTCTGGCGCGACACAAATCTTTGCAGAATATTCTTTTGTCGTCTTACCAGCCCCGATTTCAAAAAGGATGCCAAAACATGGCCTCAGAGCTACCTGTGGCTGTGTAAGCTTCTAAATGCTTCCGCTTCAAAACTCTCCCTGAAGCCTGAATGGATTTTCATCTAGACAGTGCGTAGTCAGATACTTGTCAGAACCCTGGCTCAGCATGGGCTCATAGTACGTTGCTCGAAGAGTATGTGCCAATGCCCAAGGACATCTACAACAGATAGAATGGTCTTAAGTAAAGATGTTTCCCATTCAACCTTGCAAAGCCGCTTCTGCCGGTCAGGCCCTACTAGCTGCGGAAGAGGCTTCACTGCCCACGGTGCTGTGCAACGCCGCAACTGCCATAGAGGCATCGGGTTGGCGTCAGCTTGTTTCGCGGTGCTGATTAGTAGAGAAGTCAACCATGGTGGCAAGTATTCGGGATCATGACACCACGATCCGCGATTCCCTGCATAAGAGCAAGCTTGGCTTCAAGACGATTGCTGCAGGCAATTTTTCTTACTTTGTAGAGTTTGCAAGGGTTGGTGTAGGTCTGAGGTCTCCGGTATGTTGAACGGAAAACATTCTGGAACCTGCTTGAAAAGGATGCCGTAGATGGCATGTGCTTTTTCAACTTTGGAGCGGGAAGACGACGGAGCCGGTTATGCTATGCCACAATTTCAGTTGCTTCTCGCATACCGAGACGAAGTACGGGTGGGAACCTGCCATACAGTCACGTCCCTTCCTTATCGCTATCGTCAAGGAGCTCGCCATCTGAGAACCATGCTGTCCCATGCTGCAGCTGTATGACAACAGCATTTCTGCACATGCTGAGCAGTCTTCACAGGGTCACTGCCGTTGTAGTGGTTGTAGTGGGCCCCAGTTTCTCTTCGACTTTTTTTCGACGGACGCCTGCTCATCCCCAATGGGATGCGAGCTTGGGACAGGGTTGAGGTTGTCAAAACCAACACCGCCAGGCTTAGGATTCTTGTGCGGGACGTAAAGCTGCCAAGTGTATTATGGAACATTTAAAGCAGCAGTTCAGGTCTCAGGACTTCTGAATGTAGGGGCATTCACGACTTCGGACTGATGGTTTTACATCCCGACGAGGCGAGGATCAGGGCCCGAAGCAACATTCTTTCTACTTCAAAGCCGTATGCGGTGCAGAAGCGACACCTTCCAATAGTTGGCTTCTGCTAGTTCCCACTATTATTGTCGTAATTATTGCTATTCTATCATTTCGAGGGTTATTACTATAGCAGTAAAAGTGTGGGGAATTGTCATTGTAGAGCAATACTTGCGCAGGGCTTTCTAGGAGATCCTCATTGTGACCACTGCACCCTCATCATCCGGATCCAGCTTCTTGTGCCCACTAATAAGCAACCCTGCGAGCGTCTATATGCACCGGCATGTTATACCCAAATCCCATATCCCTACCTACCGAAACGCAAAACCTGATACCCCCAAGATAATAATAGTAATAACAATAATAATACTAACGGTAATAATGGAAATAGTAGTAGTAGTAGTAGTACTAGGAATAATAATTATAGTAATAATAATCATTTTAGCCCAAGCAACACGACAGCTCATGGCACAGGTTTGGCTTAGCGAAGCTGACCTCGGTCTGGTCATGCGCTTTGTGAACCGACCCGAGGTCCCGCGTTGAGTCCCTTAAGCTGCTGAAGGTTGATGGTTCAGGATTCAGGTGTTACACTGGGATAATGGAAAAGAAAATGGAAACTACTAGTCAGGATTCGTTTCAGTCTGTTCTGCAATGCCCTTGGTCGTCTGGCGTTCTTATCTGCCTCGGAAGCTCTTGCCGCTTTTTACTTGCAGGCGCTATACCTTGGGGGGGGGCCCTCAAGACGAGGACTTCTTTCGTTCGGCTTCCGTCTTTCAGATTCGCGCGGGCTTTAGCTCGACATAGCAAAGAAACCGTAAACACTCAAACGTAATAAAGGCCAGCTTGCAGGTAAAATGAGCCCTTAAAAACCTGGTACTTCCCAAGCCCAGAATCCATCAAACCTTTAAATCCTTTAAGCAACCTGTAAATCCTTTAAGCAAATTTCCCGAACCCTCAATGCCTCCCTTAGTTCCTAACGCAAGCCCTGCTTCACCCAATATAACCCCAATATGTATCAACCCCATATCCCCAATTATATACCAGTTTTCATTTTATTTTCCATCATCCCTATATAACCCAATGTAACCTGATTTCTAAGAGACAGGTCTACGAGATGCCACCTGGGTGGCCATACACGCACCAGGCAAGCCTTGTGCTTTATCGCGTGAACCCGTTGTGGGGGCTTTCCAGGACCCTGGGTCCAAGGACCCAAATAATAGGGTTTTATGGCCCAAATACCATTGATAGTATAGTATTTGGGCCCTCGAACCCTCTTATTTGGGTCCTTGGACGCTGAAGGGGGAGGCATCGGTAATATGAGTATGTACGTAAGTAATGGTTCCAGAAATATATCTGGTGGTTTCCGTGATCAGAGGGACCGAACAGAGACCCTAATGCCAATCCCCATAGTCCTTTAGGGACCCCCACAAAATAACACCATCATCCCAATATATCACCCAATATACTATAGGAGTTTCCATTTTATTTTCCATTATCAGCCCTTGATTTATGGAAACTCTAGGGCCCGGGGCGCCCTTGCAACCAAGATCTTGATACGTATTCCTCATGTGTTGGGGATTTCTAAGGCAACCCACAAAGCTATCACCCCACAGTGCTGCAGAATGAGGAGCCGGCATGACCCTTGAAAACAGGACCAGAACTTTAAGAAATGCAAAGAATCTCACCATCATAGGGCCTGGAGTCTTGTGAGTTATTGGAGTTGTTACTTCCCATCAGCCTTTGAAGTTCATGTGAGTTTCTGAAAGTACTCGTGCATCAAGATTGGTTGAGACACAAGGCCAGCGCAGAGCCAAGACAAGCTGGCTTTCAAGATGCGCGCCTTCCGCAGCACGTGCATGGCAAAGAAAGATCACGTAGGCCGTCAAGCGCACACCTAAGACGTATTCTCCTCATGAGCCTTTGGGGTTTCCCTCGGCTTCCCGTAGACCGTGCAGACCTGCAATCACCGCACGTTGACATTGCTGAGGGTGCTTATGCCAGGTCTTGGAGAATGGCCAGACAGATGCGCTTCCCGAGGGCGAGGCACAGGCAGGTTAAGCAACAGCCATGAGAATCTCTGGTCTCCCCTCCTGCACACTTAATCATAGTAATAGTAGTAGTAATAGCAATAGAAACAGCAATACTAATTGTGGTGGTAGTGGTAGTAGTAGTAGTAGTAGTAGTAGTATTAGTAGTAGCAGCAGTAGTAGTAGTAGCAGCAGCAGCAGCAGTAGCAGTAGTGCAGTAGTAGCAGTAGTAGCAGCAGCAGCAGCAGGAGTAGTAGTAGTAGTAGTAGTAGTAGTGGTGATGTTGCCTTTGTACCTTCGACCAGGCAGGGGAGACCCAACCAGCCGAGCACGCCAACGGCCACGACAAAGGCCGCAGCTGACATTTTTCACGTACCTAAGTAGGGAAAATCCAAAGTTATCAACAAGTACTATCCTGAAGGCTTCTTTACCTGAACCCTTGAAGTATGCAGAATCAAAGCTTTGTGGCTTTTTTGATGGCAACTACTTTGGGGGTCCAGGCCCTGTCCTATGCGTACTGGAGCAGCTTAGCCTCGGGGACAGCAGTGCTTTCACAGGCCATAACAATCGGAACTCTAGCCTAAGGGCGCAAGTACTTCAACAACAGGGTTAGGGGTCCCAAGTGCTACAACCTGAATGGTTTTATGCACTTTCCACCCTATGATACTCGCATATACCTGGACCCTTACGGCTATGCAATCCCTCTAAGCTGCTAGTAACCTCTATGCATGGTCCTTGCATATTCCTTCTCCATACATCCCCGCCAAAACCTTACCTATCCCTGATTTCTCAGCGCGCTGCAGTTCTCATGTTTTTTGCGAAAGGAGCGGCGATAGTGCCACAGCTGGTGCCTTACTTCCTGTCAAGCTGGTGGTGGTATCGGGGCTTTTGCGGATTGTGCGTGTAGCTCCGAATCAGCAACGTTCAGACCCCAGACATGATAGCTGTTATGCATTCAGTCGAAGGGCCGTCCCATAATCCAGACACAGCTCCTGTATACATGCAGGAGAGATTCATCTTTGGTAACTTGGCAAAGATGATTGCCAGACCAAGGTCTTTGACCGGCGCAAATCCAGGGGATTACGTGCAGCACTCAGCAGTCATCTGTTTAAAAGGCTTCTTTCACACACTTGCTGGAGGACATCTTGTACCCTCTTCCCGCATCCTAGAAGGCTAGTTGTAGGATATGGGGAATCTAAAGCGGCGCTTCAGACTCCGAGGTCCTCTTCGATATCAACCGTGACAATGTTGCTGACATCCCAGACATTGCCGGGTACTCACTGGCTCCAGAGCCTGCATCGATCTGAAGATGTATTTAGAGGTACGACGATTCATGTTGATACTCGTCATTGACTTGGTCAAGAGCCGTATCCTCT